CTGGTCACTGTCAGAGACAAGACACTTGGTTAAGCAAGCCATATGGCATTTCCTCTTAAAAACATTCAACAGCTATATGTACTATGAAGAGTTAGTTATCTCTAAACAAGACCTGATCAGTGAAAATACATGAATTGTGTATGTTCTGTAGGTGAGCCTCAAAATCTTTAGCACATCTTAAACAAAAGAAATGATACGTTCTTCCAAAATCAGGCAAAAGCTGGAAAGAATATAGTCAAAGTGGCTGGTGGGCACTGGGCATTTCTAGACTTATAGAGGGACTACTCCCTGTCCCTGCACTAAGCAAAAAGCCAATTGTACCATTTTACTGCTTCAGCCGATGCATAATGCTTATTGATTTGGAGCAGAGTATGTTCAGATCTGTTCATGCTTCTGCCTGCTGCAATATTTATTGTGAAGGTGTACAACCTTGTAAAGATAACGCAGTGAAGACTACACTATTGTCTTGCATTTGCTGGTATGATTGCTTATAGCTCAAGTTCTTGTTCAGATTTGCATTCCAGTCTGGAATATGCCAATTGAAAAATGTAATTTCATAGTTTTAAAGAACTTCATACACACTTGAGAGTTAGAAAAGTGTATGGAAACATTAAAAACAATAGTAACAGTAACAATAGTAATAATTTACATTAGGAGTTGAAAAAGCGCAGTTGGCTTGCCTAAGTTTCAAATTTATATTTTTTTTCTTATTAACAACTAGCCATGTAAATGTAATTTGATGGTAGCATCTTCCACTTCAGTGTTGTAATTATTTTCTGCCTATCCTTCAGGGTTTGATGGATAGCACTGCATACAAAGATTTGTTTGTCCTCTACTGCAAACTGACTGCGCCCTCTGCTGATCTGAATGGTCGAATGCAGGGAAAGCAATATCTCTAGAAAGCTAAGCTGTAAAAATCTTGCTGCACTGCAGCAAAACTGACCTTAACTGTCATCCTGTGATCTTGCTCATGCTACAGCATGGTCTAAACAAGGCAGATCCCGTATACCCTACACAGTTGCCCATGATCTGCACTAGTGTAGATTTTAGAACTGCTCAGTTCTGAGATGTGTTCATTTATACAAAATCATTTAAGCCGCAGTACTACAGCCTCTTATCTAGGAGTAAGTGCCACTGAATCCACTGGTGCTTGCTTTGGAAAAGATTTGCACAGGATTGTGTTATAAGCAGATTTTAAAGACTTTCAAGATAAGTCAAATAACAATAAGTTTGCACAATTATTTCAAGTGTTTTCTTTTGAAGGGATTCCTGCTTCTACCAAAATATGCTACTGTGTTTCATGTGATACATCAGCATTATACAGAATTTGAGAACAAAAATAAAAAGATTGAATGCAATATATGAAGAATGTAGATGCCTTCATTCATTAAGGTTTTTTTAAAAGGAAAGTCTAATTCCTGCGGCTTATTTGGGAACCCCCTTAAAAAAAAGAAGCCCAATTATTCCATATTTTTGACATGCAAAAATTAAAAACAAAAATCCAAGCCCATGTTTTTCCCTCAGATCCTCATATTTAATCTTTGCAGTACATACCACACAGAGTTAGGCACATTAAAATCAATTTCAGTGAATTTTAAATGCATCTATTTCTGTTTTCAATTGTGATGGCCTTTAGAGTTTAAGTATATTATACTTTATAAGTAAGAAGACTATTTGTATACAAGATATCAGGCAGTAAGATGTATGGTGCCAGGGATAAAAAGCATCTACAGCTTTTTCAACTTCTAGTTTCCAAATAATGTTCAGGGGATTCTAGAAGTGAGCAGAACAGTAGGAGAGCTGAATGATAGCATACTACTACACTCTCTGCTGGCTAACTTGAAGTATAACACCTTGCTTGTGAAAGATCTGTGTATACCTCCATGTAGAAAGCTAGTGGGTTGCGATGGCAATTGCCTGTCATTGTTAACCATATTGGGCTACAAGGACCTATCATCTCACCCAATAAAGGCAACTTCCTGTGCTCTGATTTTTAAGACATAATTTCAAAACACCTCCATCAGTTAATAGAAATGTTGTCTGTACTGAACTAGGTGGCTTGGGAAGGTTGGTTCATTCCTCCGAATAAATAATAAAGCTCCTGATCTGCCCATTTGTCTCAATAGATGTGCATGTTGACAAAATTGTTAGCATTAAACAACCAACCAGAAGTAGCAATGATGGCCATAAAAATGCTCAAAGCATATCTGAGTGATAACCCTCATTAGGCTAAAGACAAATCATGAAATTGTGAGCAATTTTTGGAGTTCTCCAAAAAAGAGGGTTTTTTTTGTCAGGTATGAAAGTAATGTGTATAAACAAAGTAAAAGAGGGAGAGGCTTACATTCAAAGCATGTAGCCATCCCCATCTAGCTACAGTCCTAAAATGGAACATAGGAGAAAACTATAAGCATCACATATCACATGCTGAAATGATTTCCTGTTATATCTGGGACATTCCCAAGAGGTGCTAGCAGGGAGAAATCAAGCAAGCCACAATGGTTGATCCCTCATTCTGTGAAACACTAAATCCAGATGTTGAAGATAATTCTGAGTGACAGCTGAATTTAATTTTTTTTAAGTGGGGGAATCAAACATTTTTGTAGCTTTCCTATCCCAGCATATATTAGGAGAGTCATAGCCTTATTGGACAAGGAGATATAAGATACATCTGATGGCTTTCTTTCAGGATGGAAAAAGAGATACAGCTAGTCCCAGCAAAAATGTTTGGAGCCTTTCTCTGTCAGACATCATGAGTTCAATGTCAGGGGAGGGCAAAGGTGTAGTTCTTGAGTAGGGTGAGAAAGCTTTAGATCCTTCTAAGTTCCATACATGCTCTTAACAAGGGTACATAATAGCTTAGGACACATTAGAAGCTCTGTCATTAGATCCTTGCAAACTAAGAGGTAGGTTTCAGTAGAGCTTACTCTGAAGTTTATCAGATTTATAGAATTGCACTTTATGGGTGAAGTCCTGTTCAAGCAGGCATAATATAAAGTTATCTATATCTAAATGTATGAGGTGACATGCATGGCAACAAGGCCTTGCACACTTCAATTGAGCAATTGGTTGTGCAATTCCCATGGTCAGTGTTGCTCAATATGCGGTTGGAAGTGCTTTATGGATACCACTTCTGCCTTGGAACTTCCATAACCACTCCCGGTGTAATATGGAGTTATGCTTATAGCTAAGCAACAGGATTTTGTCCTATGATTTGAGATATTAAAACAAATCTCATAAAGCATATTTTTAAAAAATAAAATCTGAAAAGGTCTAACCACTGAATTTCTATTGTGGGAGGGAGGGATATCCTAGTTAAGAGCCCCAAATTATCATCTTACTACACAATTATTCATAATTACTTCTTTTTTGAGACATGTCTTCTTACACTTGCATATTATACATGTTTATACATGTTTTTATTTTTTATTTTTTAAAGAAATGGCTAATGTTTTGGCA